ACTTATTCAGTTAAAATTTGTATAGTTGTAACTTAACTTTTTATAATTAATTATCATTGTCATGCAGTTAAGTTAATTTTCTTTTCGTGCCACGCGTAATCAAATAATCAATACTGATTCATTGACTCTTTTTCGATTAAGTTCATTTATTTTCGAATTATATATTATAATAATCTATTTTTTTACACAGTGTAAAATGTCTTGATAAATGTTTGAGTTTAACACAATACTAGGGAAGTTTATGTCTTAAAAATATTGTAACTCAAAAAAAATGAACTTTTTTTAAACTGGGTTAAGTTAATTTTACTTTCTATCTTAACTTTAAACTTATCTAGTTAATTTTACCTTCTATCTTAACTTTAAAATTATCTAGTTAAATTATTTTTTGTTAACTTAACTTAACTGAAGGTAATTTAATTTAATTAACTTAACTTTCCACAGTTAATTATTTTCATTAACTTTCCCACCTTTGCTAATATGATGGACTCAAAACATAATATAATACATGGCAATGTAATAATAATTTCGTCATTCGCCATTCGCCATTCGGCAAAAACTTTAACGGCAGTGCGTGTAGCGTTTCGGTTTTAGCCGAGCTGACATTTAAATAAGGACATTAAGCTCGGAATTTCGTACGGCCTCGTTCGTTATGTACATAGGTACAGCTATATAGTATTGCTGTAGCTGCAATGCATATAGGTATATATATCTATATAAGTCAGTATTGAACTCGGAACGTCTCTCTATGTCTATTAAAAATAAAACCAAACGCGTACACACATACGGTATCGAAATACCGACTAAATCCGATCACACGATCGTTATAATACGACACCGACACGTATAAAAAGTCCTAACCTACCTATATAATAGTATAATAATATTATACCAGTGCACAGTATATACATGTTAATATAATATATTATAATATAGGTATAAGGTATATAATATATTATATAGCCATATAGGTATGATGTGTAAACACAACGCAAATACAATATATATACATGTATAGTCTAAATATATATATTACTAGTATATATTATATACTGTATGTATTGTGTATATGATAATAATATGTTTAGTATTACGACGTTCACTATAATATTATTATAAACTATTGCGTGTGCAGTATATAGGTAGTGAGTAGTGACACCGCCGCCGAGCGGGTGCAGGTTTTCTGAACACAATAGATCTAGTTTTCGCAGAGCCGTACATAATATATATATATAATACTATAGGCAGGAAGATACAAAGAGGATATACAATACGCATATCGTGTGAATTTTTTCTGTTTTCCGCCGCGAACCGTAATAATATTATGTCGTATTATTTACTACCGTCCTATATTACGTGTTATAATATTAGCGAGTTCGTTTTAACTTTTTTTAACGATATGCATACTGCTTTATTATTATAAACTACTATATTATTATGGTAGGTCCGTGTTTATTTGCACTCTCGGGAGCGATGATATATAATATATATCAATATTATAGGCAGGCATAGGTACACTATTAGGTACTTCTATAAGCGGCCCATTTACATATTCAGTGGCCTAAAATTACGTTTATAATTATTACGAGCTTATATAGGTGGCCAATCGTATTTTAAACATGAATTTGTTGTCACTCACACTCACACGAGTACACGACCGGCCCAAACTTTAAGCTGCCTACCGAGATTTTCTCGGTACCTCACCTAACCAATCCGGCTCTGATTGCGCATTGTATCGTCTGCGATTGGAGAGGACTAGAGATCACTATACGTTTCATAGACATTTTTTCGACTTGCAGTAAAATAGGTATTTTATACCAATCAATCCATTATAGCAATGGCCGTTTAACGATAAAAGACTTTGCAAAAAATATAAATATATTCATACATAATATATAATAGTAAATTTAAAATTTTGTTTTTAACAATAAAAACATATTTGGTTGCGTCTTTTGATCAGAGTTATTTTCTCGTTAAGATAATACTGCAGGCAACATTATCGTGACGTTTCGAATCATTTCCGATGGAAATTATAAAATTTTTACAATAATAGATTCCTATTTTACATACTATTACAATCGTTAAAATATAGTATACAATACGATATTCTTCCAGCTAATTTTACCAGCACCTCGTCCCACCAACGATAAATGCTGTCATCACGCGGATGTGACGACCGCGTACTTAAGTTATACTTACACTTACACAATTGATTAATCATAAAACAACCGCATTATAATATCGACGGAAAATCATATTTTTACAGTCACATTATCAATGTTATTTTGTCGCGTACCTTAGAGCCACCGGGATACGATAATAAAATATACGAAGAGAAAAGTCCCGCGACGCAATAATAATAATAAGCGGTGTCTGGGCGGTGGGGGCCGAAGACGTCCGACCTACTCCCGAGGTAGCCGGCTATATAGGATTACACAAATACTCGCGCGGGCATTATGTTCCGAGACTATGAAACTTGTACATAGTTTGTGATATGTACCTACCTTACACCTCCGCAGCCGTCCGTCGAGAGCGGTCCGTGTGCACGCAAGTCTGTCGGCTTGCCAAAATTTTTCGAGAGCCAGAAAAAAATTCGCAACGATCATCGATTGACGATCGCTCGGTATACACAGTTTGACCACGATATAATATAGTACCTACCATAACGTAATAATATACAATTTAATAGATCGAAGCTGTGACGCGTACAAGTCGACGTAAAATTATTACTAGAACAATATTAAATACATTGCGATTTGTCGTTTCTCCCATTCCGTTTTTACTCACGCACGATAATAATATTATAATATTAATATCGTTTGCGAAATCATAATTTATCGCAATCGCGTCGCCTCAGAAAATTGACGGAAAAATTGCGCGCGTTTTTCGAACTCAGTACGTCGTCGTCCGTCGTCGGGATCGCTCGGAACCGCTCTCGTTAAGTTATTTCATTACGCCAGCCGAAGATCGCCGTACGTCTTCTAGATCACCGAACATTTAAATATAGACGTAAGTGATTCATATATGATTTTACAGTCGGTTTTATGTATACGTTTTATCCACAGACTGCTGGGTTTACGATGATATTATTATTGTAATTTTGGATGGAAAAAATATACCTATGTGTGGAAAGTATTAAATAATAAAATATAGGTATAGGTAATTGAATACCTACGGATATTTTTTTGGAGAAAACACATCTGCCATGGCACGATTTTACGAAGACGATAATACATAATATTTATGGCTATTGCCGAAATAATCTTAATTAAATGTTTTTTCCATCATATTGTTATTACGTATAGCATAGTTTGCGCGTGAAAGTTTTTTTATAAAAATTAAAAAGTAATAAAAGATTTCATTTTTATTTTTTATTGTGTTTTGTTGTTCACACAATTATAATTATAATTATTTTAAGTTTTCAAAGTATAGATATACTATATACATTAACGAATAACTAGACATACTTACCTAATCAGTAATCACTTCATAGCTAGTACATACTTAATAGTTAATACAGAATATATATTATTAGGTACCTATCTTATCATTATTTTGCACGTTCCACATGGATTTCGTGTTGATAGGTGTTAATTGATCGCAAAATTGTGTACAACATGTAACACAAATATTGATAGCCAACACAAAATCTTGTTGGTTACCGACATACCATATAATTTTATTGTTATTTGTTATTAATATAATTAAATCTGACACGTTAACGTTGCATTTGATAAGGTTTAAAAATTAATTTCTATACAACTTGTTCGATGCACATAAACATAATATGAAATAAACAATTTAGTATACTAGTTTATACTACTGACTACTGTTACTAAATAGTAAATATTGATACAAATGGCTCGAAAACATATAATTGTGTTAACTTTATATACAGGCTAAATTGAATAATAATAATTAAAAACTAGTAATTTAAACTAGCATCAAAACAATGTTTTTAGTGATGTTAGTTTATTAAGTTAAACTAACACAATTTGAAATCTGAAGGTTACCGGGAGAAACGCGGTTACCTTGCATTTTGTAAATATAAGGCTGCAGTTTTTAGAAACTTAACTAAACTTATGCTTAAGCAAAAATTATTAGCTATACTAAAAAGTAAAAATATACCATACATTATATTATGTATGCCTTATAAATAAATATATTATAATATATGGTATAATTTTTTTATCATAATTTGTTATAATGGTAGGCATTCAGTCCATTTTAGAGATATCATTACATAATCGATAAATAATAATTAAAAGATAAAATTCACTTTTTGATTACATGTACCTACAACTCAAGGTGTTTGAACAATAATTATGATAAATACAGCAAAATTATGTTGTGCCTAAATATTATGAAATTACAAAATGTATTTAAATTTTGGACCTTTTTTTGAACATGTCTCTGTGTCTGTACCTGTTATTGAGGGCATAGGCAATTACATTTTATATTTTTATCGAATACTCGAGGAACCTTTAAATTTGTTTAGGTAACTGTTTAAACAAAATTGATAATAATTATTCTTACACAAATAATAACAACAAAATAGCTTATTTAATATTTTACTTAAACTTTTTTTGTACGAATAGTCACCAACAGCCTGTAAAAACTTAAGTTCATAACACCTTATAAATGTGTCTAATTGTATAAATAGTTAAGGAGCTCGAGGTCAAGGTTTAATGGGTGACAAATATAATGTTTTGTTTTTGAGAAAACCATAGAAGTTATAGTATGCATTAACATAAATTCATCAACATAATATTAAAAATCAATTTAATTCAAATTTCAAATAACTTTTTGTATATTGTCCTTAACACTGGTGCCTACGCCATACCCACCTAATATTATGCCTTAGAAAATTAAATAAGCTGTATTAAAAAATTTGTTTCACATATTTTAACTATAAATACTTACGTACCTACTTAAAATATTTAAGTTGCAGATTATATTTTTAACATAAATTATTGTTTTAAATTTTTATTACAGTAGTTGCGATGGATTTTTCTAATAAAGCTGGAAATAACAACATACCACTCTCGGACGAAGTCTTAGAAATTCTAGAGTCCCAATTTAATAAAGTCAAAACTCTTCATTCTACAGATTTAGAGATTATCGCAGCCGAGTTGGGTGTCAGAGATAATGATGTTAAGGTAATATCAATATATCATATAATTATATAAAATGTAATAATTTGACAACTTATTTCAGCAATATTAATAATTTGTTAAATAATTTAATTAATTATAACGTTGCACTTAAGTAAAAAATATGTCACATCACTGCACATTACAGCTGCAGTATACTTGTAATATTATAGTACTATTAACCTACTTCAGGGTACCATGGTGTTTTAATTATACGCAATTGTGTCCAATCAAAAAATTATTAAAATACGCGACCATCAGTTTTAAGACCATTCATAGATTTAAACACGATTTTTATGGGTTTTTAAGAACAACATTGTTAATAAAAAGTATTCATTCTTTTTGACGTTTCGGATCAACATTAGAAGTTGTAGAACAACAATAATATATTTACACTGCACATAATTTCTCTTCTATTACATAAATATTAAAATATAGGAACAATACCTACATTACTAATTTTTACTATACATATAAATAGTAGCTATGATAAATACATTTTTTAATAGAAATATATTTATGAGTTTACCATAGTAATAAACATCTATATAACAGGTGTCCCATTGTTTACGACTGCACATAGGCACATTTATATTATAAAAAGTTTATTACGGAGTTAACTGCAGCAGAAAGATCAAGAGGAAATTGAGTAAAAATCTCATGTGTTATGAAAATTTGAATTTTTGTTTTTAAGACATTCAGAGTTTTTGGTTACATGTGGTTGGAGTTACAGATAATAATTACCTATACATAATAATAATAAAATTAATAACATTATTATTTACTTCCGGTGCCTATATGTACCTGATATAGTAAACTACTGTATAATGCGAATATGTATAATAATATGGTTATAAAAATTAAAATACATTTATGTATATCTATTTTGATTTAACTTGTAGGAATGATTTAAATAAATATATAATATATTAAAATTATCTAGTGATCATAATTATATGACTTATATCATTAAGTAAGTGAAAAAAAAATAATTCTGATGTATTGATTACTAGGACAAGGATTACAATAATTTTCAACGCTATATAAAAATTAATTTTCTATTGTCTATCAGTTATCACTCAGTACTGCAATAAAATAATACAATGGTATATTAAAAAATAAAATATATCACCTCCTCAATCTGATGATAAAAATCTTTATACTTCTGCTGCTCAATGTGTGTGTCGTGACTTGTGCGTGGATGTTTCAGTTTTAAAATTTTGAAACCTAATTTTATGAATGAGTTTTGAATTTTCTAGTATTTATTTTACGTTTAAAAATAAAATGTAGACTAGCCAACAGTTTGGTGCCAATAATATGTACTTGTTTACGTTTTTACTTATTTTTAGTTAAAATAAACTGTATAACATAATTCAAATTATCAAATAAAATGGAATTTTTAATAAATTGGTAGGTCTATAATATATTATAACCTATTACATTCCAAATTTTTATTTTGTTATTGTTAAGCTTCAGTTTCTCCGACTAGTAGTAAACATTTATTGCAGTTTAATATTTACATATCAAAATTCAAATGAAATTGATGTTATAACATTTAGAAATGGTAAACATTACATTCTTGCAGCAAACATTGATTAACATTTTTAATTATTATTTATCATTTGCTAGGGCAAGGCGCGTATTACCCATCATTAGAATGTTTTAATTATTTATTTTGGATTACTTAGTAAACTATTTTATAGTGATTATTCGATTTTAATTTATCTAAGCACCAGTGGAAGTGTGGAACACGCAAATATAACAAATTCGCTAAAAATTAAAAACTGACAAATTGCTAATTTATATTTGTATGATTTCGTAGGTAGAATTCCACAATAATTCAACTATAAGCGGATAAATATAAAATAAAATATTTGTGATACTCGAAATATGTATCAATGTTATAAATGAATCTTAGTAATTTGTGTCAATGTTTACACTCCCTCGTTCAGATTCATATCATCTGAAGTTTCTTATCAAAAACATAGGTAATTATTTTACATTTTTGCTGTAATTTTATTTGAAGCGTTAATAAGCGTTCTGCCTTTAGGTATACTAAAACCTGCAGGCCTGCAGTATTAAAAACGCGTTTCTTACATGTATTACCTGCTATATTAAATAGGTAAACGGAAATAAAGTTAACGATGTTTATTCATATTATATGCTATTAAAATTGTGAAAGGTTATAAAAATCCAGTTCAAAATAGTTCTATATACTTCAACGGAGATCTAATTTAAAAATCTTGAAAAACTAAAACCCAAATAATAATATTAGATATCATATATTAAAAAGTAATATTACAAAACAAAGTTTTTAAACCAAATCATTTGAAAAATATTTTTTCAACTTTTTAACATTTGATCATAATATTCACATATATTTATAAATTTAAGTTTGTGTTAATTATATTATATTAGCGTATTGTAGAGTGCTGATGCACAGTATTGTTAAAAAAATTATTGTTTTCCCATTCTACACTATAGGGAAGAGTAACGATATTGCAAAAACCAAGCCATCTCTCAAGTAAACACCGACTACTAGTAAAATGTTTTTTCTATATTGGTAGCAACAATTATTATTTACATATATTTGCTAATTGCTATGTATTATTGTAAAATTGTAAAATGTAAATTGTAAAGTGTTTGTTTTTTAGATGTGGTATACCAATCGTCTGGCGGCATGGAGAAGGAGCCAAGGACTCTCAGACTGTTTTGGGCAACTGTAAATTAAAAAAACACACCAACTAAAAATTGTAATGATAATTACTATATTGTTTAAGTCGAAGTTTGTTATGCATATACTACTATAGTGATTTTACGATTTATATTATGAAATTCGGTAAAGTTATATTATATTATTATTTTGTTTTGTATTTATTTAGTTGTTATTAGCACTCATTGTTTTATTTCGACTATTATTATATATTATTATGAGTATTATTATTATTTTACACTCACCGAATTTTAAATCATGAATATATTTCTAATAATATATATTATGTAAATTAACAAAACATTAATTACTATTATTTATATCGATCACGTTCACATTTAATTTAGTGGTGTATAATATATAAATTGACGGCGTTCAATAAAATTATGAAGTGAAGACACACAACTTTTAAAACATTTTCAGTGGTTTGTGGTAATCCACGTTGCCATCAAACCACGTAGCATGTGCTGTTTTATGAGTTTAATCGTCGTATTTATTTAGTCGAGTAATACGTCTACTTATACCTTACGTAATTTTAATGATTATAATTAACTATAACAGTCAAATTAGGTCTGAAATGACGATTTTCGTGAAGTACCTCGTGGAACTATATGCACAAATAATTGTTTTATGAATAAAAGGTTTATTTAATTTAAACAAATATAGTAGGTAGCATATTGCAAAGCAAACGTACTAAGCACTTATCAGTTTATTTCATAATATTGTTATCGTCCACTTGCAGTAAAATTATTTAAATATCGACTAAAAAATGTTTAAATAAGTACAATTATTAATTCCTCGGTATATTATGCATTGTTTTATCTTAATTTTTACTTAAACGGTATAAACGTTAATATATAGGTACCGCTTATAACAAGCACAAATATTTATTTAGGCACTAAACAATTTAGAGTTTTTCTCGTAATGAACACACACATCACCGTTATTTGGAACGTTCAAAGTAAACAAAATATAGACTCTCGTGCCGGAAATATTACACAGAGAAAAAAAGAGTATGATGTGATGTTATCCTAACATTACTTTTAAGAAACGTCACACCCACATGATGTGTTGTCCACGTCTTTACAAACGTACAAAATAGCAAATTTTAACTCCACAATGATCCATTTTACTTTGATATTTTTAAAACTATAATTAATTTACCTATTTTAAAATGTAAATATTATAGATATTAGATAATTATCCAGGGCATCTCTGAGACTTTAATTGATGTTTTAATTAGTAATCACGAAGCGTTTTAAATGTGTAATTTTCATGGTAAAAATTATCATAAATAATCTAAACGTGCTTAGGAAAAATCAATAAAAGCCTCAGAGACTCCTAGGTAATAATCTTACTTTTAAATTGTTATACAATTATTCCAAATAGGCTCACCTTAATTTTCAAAAAAAAACATAATAAGATGGATTACCGTGAACGTAAAATTTACTATACTATACTGTAGGTTTGTAAGACAGAGATTTTACCGAGATAATTGTATTATAACATAAATATTATCTAACTCAGCAATTTTTATAGTTTTTGAATCATATAATATTATACTTATGTCGTATTTATTTATTTCCTCGAAAACGTATTATGATTCAATGGTGCCTACTGCAATCAATACACCCAGGACCCAGCTATAGTAATTTGTAATAACGTTTTAAAATAAAAATATGCAAACATAAAACATAAGTAGTTAGGTACAGTGAAGTATGGTTGGTCAAATACTTTTTTAATCATTAATATGAATATCTGCATTATGAACATTGGACATACCTTAATAAGTATCTAGCATCATATTATTTAGATATTCGATATAGGTAGTATGGAAAGAGTTGATTTTCCCGATGAATTTTAGTCAAATCAACTGCTATTGTTGATTGAAACCACCTGCTGTTAATCGATGTATTACAAAAATAATAATAATTATAGAAACTTTGCATTTTCACCCGACGTTAATATATCCGAGTACTTTTATATTTTTAGCTACAGGAAAAAATGCACGACACATATTTTAACATTATAGCGTCGTAATAAATATTATAGAAGTTCGTTTAAGTCTTGTTACAGGTTTATAATAAATTGTCATATATTTTGTACTCATCGTACAATATAATATTTTCAACTTGTTGATTGCCATAAGCCACGAAAACGTAAATAAATGTTGATCACATATTATATTATTGTTACGTTTACCCTAAAGAAATATACAAAGGTAATTAAAAAAAAAAGAACACCACTAATAACCAACGAACTGAGGTGAGTGAAGCGAAACAACAAGTGTTCAACAACCGGTCTATGCACGACGAAGCTGTCCGAGTTTTTACGTATCCGACCACGACGACCTTACTATTTGGTTGTAAGTTATAACTAAGACGTGTTAACCGGCTGCGCCGTAGGTATATAAAAGGCTCCACGTCTTTTTCGTTTGTTAGTCATATCGAAGCGATTTGGTCGGGTGATTATATTATAAAACGACATGACAATCGAAAAGACAATATCATTATGTAGGCGTGCAATGTAATTTTATTTATCTACTGTAAGTTATTAGATTATTATTTTCTAGACGTTAGAAAGTAAATATTATTAATAACAATATAATACCTATACGAGACGCATAATCTCACGGCTAGAGTGCGCCACGCAATATGTTAAATTATTACAACTGTGGTCCGAATAAGCCGACGATGGATATTATAATAATAATATTAAAACTAAACACACGTGTCAACCAAACCTACTTACCTACAGTACCCTTCCTGGCTCCCACGCAGTTGAAAAACCACTCAATGGCCTAAATTTCAGTGGATTAATCAATAAAAATTAAAAATAAATATTATAAACGATATTATTATGAATTATGATGTTTTCGTTCGCTCTGAGTTAGTCAACGTTTGTTCAACCAAATCTACAATTTCTAGGATTCTGAAATCGTAGATGACTTATCAAGAGATGACTTGTCGAGTTGAAATACTAAAAAAGTAGTTAAGATTTATAAGAAGATAATTTTGTAAAAAAAAGTACTTGATTATAAACACAGACAAATAAAGAGCTCTGTTTAGCCAGCACTGTCACTTTAAAATTTCAATACCAAACTATGACAGTATTATAATACTATTATTATATAATTTTTTTTTTTTAAATTTTCAACACAAATCTTGTACACCTCCCCGAGCTTGAGAAAACTGGTTTTATTCTATGTGGGTGAGAAACGTTTCCCCAGAATTCCTTTGCTAAGTTTTGATCAAATACAATTTATAATATAAATAAATATTATGTACTTTTTTTCTACAACACAGGGACAAAAAAAAAATTTAAAGGACCACCTCTCCGAACACAAGAAAAATAATTATTTGATATTATTTCCGGTCATCACTAATCTTGGAGATTGGTCCATGTAGGTCTTATAAAAAAATATGCAGACTATATACATTTTTCCAAGGTCTTTCTTAAGGTTGTCTTCTGTTGTCTAACCTAAACCCAATAATGATACAACTATAATACAAGTAGGTACAACATAATGTCATAATATGTAGGAAGTATATTATATTTCTCTCGTACAGAATACTTATCTATTACCATTCTATACAAATTGCACCATTATTTTATTTTTTGTCTATAACATTGAAATGTATTATACCATACTAATATTACAGTAAAATATAGCTTTATTTTTATTAAACTAAATTTTAACGGTTGTAAAAACACGAATAAAATATAAGTTGTGTTTATTCCATACATAGTAGAGGATTTTACCTTTCCTTGGTAAATGTGCAGCATTTGGTGAAGAAATATATTATTTAATTTCATAAATCTTAAATCTTAACTATAATGATCATTTGATATTGTGTATATGAGTAAAATCATAATCTGTAACTGGCTGTAAGAGATGGAATAAGAAAATAAGAAATTTGAAAATATATTTATTTTTTAAAATAAGAATAATTTATTTTTAGTTTTCAGCTAAACAAATATTTAAGTAAATTTTTGTTTCTGTGTGGGTGCGGGCATGCGGAGCAATAAATGCATTGCTATTGCAATGTGTTTAAAAAAATTGTTTAGTGTCTATGGAGTATGTACAGTAAGCATGACAAACTCAAAGTATTAATAGTTGGGCCAAATATTATATTGAATAGTTTACTATGCACATTGCACATGAATATTTAACGAAAAAAATTCATTTTATCCATTACCTACGATTGCTATGAGCACAACAGGTACAATATTAAGATATGTATTATTATTTATAATTTCTTTTTGATGTTTGCGATATTTCACTTTTTTTCTACTGTAACAATGTGAGATGCAGTCGATGTAGATATTGCTATCAAAATATATTATATCTATTTGGAATTCAAAATGTGTTGCTGAAAAGTTTTATTCAAAATGTATGTAAGGTAGGAACGTGAGGAGGGGGACAAAGCCCCTACGGGTCTGTATTGAATAATTGCGCCATTGGAACGCAGTTTTTAAGTCGTTGGTTTGAGCTTTTCTACTTAATTTTTCCCAATTCGAGCACTGAACATAACATATAAATCTCTCAAACATACTCGTGACTTGTGAAATGAAAATTGTATAATTTTGTTTTGTGTACATTTTTTTGTATTATTAGTGGTGCATTAATATTTGTAGCTGTGGGCTAAAAGAAAATAAGTCACGGACCGCGTGTTTAACATATCTGGTTACATGAAAAGTAGTTGATAAAATGCTACGATGGAAGATGGTTTCTGATAAAAAAATTGATCTAAAGTTTGTAAACTTTTGACTTTTGAGAAGTCAAAATCGAAAATGTTCAGTACTTTTAAAAATAATTAAAATAAAATAAGTTAAAATTTAAAAAAAATAGATATTTAATAGAAAAATACCAATTTTTTTTATTTTGTTTTAAATTATTTCAAAGAAATAGTGTTTGCACTGTAACTAAAAAAATCTAAGAACTATATAGGCATAGTGTTAAATAGAAACTGTTGTTCTTGAATCATTCGTAAATCCTATTTATTTATCTTT